TGTCACCTAGGCTGGAGTGCAGCAGCGTGCTCTTGGCTCATAGCTCACTGTAACCTCTGCAGCCCAGGTTCAAGCAATTCTCCTGCCTCAGTCTCCTGAGTAGTTGGGATTACAGGCACATGCCATCATGCCCAGCTAGTTTTTGTATTTTTAGTAGAGATGGGGTTTTGCCATGTTGGCGAGGCTGGTTTCTAACTCCTGACCTCAGGTGATCCGCCCGCCTCCGCCTCCCAAAGTGCTGGGATTACAGGCGTGAGCCACCGCACCCGCCCCTGACTCCATTTTAGACCTGAGGAAAATAAGGGTCAGAAAGGTCAGGTAACGAGTGAAAAGATATAAAGCCCTGGTCCCCTGGTTCCATATCCAGTCCGCTCTGCAGTCAGACACTGCTGTACAGTATCGCTTCCAAATACCACATTGTTAATGTTCAGAAAAGAATGTTAAGAAGTTCCGAAAGATCTTAATTAAGAAAAAAATAAGCCTCTGCAGGAGCCGAAGGGACTGAGTACTTTGGCAGTTTGGAGATGGCTAATTATGGGTCTTACACAGTTGTTGGGGGTAGGGAGAGCATTCTGGGGCAGTCTGACACGGGAAGTCACTAGACTTCTAACTTTAGCAAACAGGTTCTCTAGCTTGGAAGTAGAACTGGTAGCTCAGCATTTACTGGGCTAGAAAGCTTAGGGAGTTTCAAAGGGCACTGTAAATCAGGTGAAGACCGACTATTTTGGTTTATAGCTTGCATTATCTGAGAAAGAGCTATCAGAAAGGTAGGTTATTGAATGATCATAGCTTTCCCACAGTAGTCAACTTAAAATATTGTGTTCCTTTTTGTGACAGAAATTCTGAAACATGAGCTGGTATGCTGGTGAGTGCCTACAATCCCAGGTACTTGGAGGGGCTGAGACAAGAGGATTCCTTGGGCCCAGGAGTTTGAGTCCAGCCTGGGCAACATAGTGAGACCCCATCTCCAAAATGAAAACCAAATTCTCAAACATGCATGAAATATGAAGAAAATAAACCCCCATGACACATCATTTGGCTTCAAAAATTATCAATATTTTGCCATTCTTATGTGCTTGACTTTTTTTTTTTTTTTGAGACAGAGTCTCACTCTTTAGCCCATGCTGCAGGGCAGTGGCGTGATCATAGCCTACTGCAGCCTCCAACTCCTGGGCTCAAGCAATCCTCCCACCTGAACCTCCAGCTGGGACTACAGACTCACACAACCACACCTATCATATTTTTACATTTTTAGTAGAGATGAGGTCTCCCTATGTTGCCCAGGCTGATCTAGAACTCCTGAGCTCAAGCAATCCTCCCACCTGAGCCTCCAGGGTAGCTGGGACTACAGACTTACTCCACCATACCCATCTAATTTTTACATTTTTAGTAGAGATGAGGTCTCCCTATGCTGCCCAGGCTGGTCTAGAACTCCTGGGCTAAAGCAATCCTCTTGTCTCCACCTCTCAAAGTGCTAGGATTATGGGTGTGCACAGCCTAGAGTGCAGTGGCACCTTTTTTTTTTTTTTTGAGATGGAGTTTTGCTCTTGTTGCCCAGGCTGGAAGGCAGTGGCATGATCTCAGCTCACTGCAACCTCTGCCTCCTGGGTCCACGAGTAGATAGGATTACAGGCGTCCACCACCAAGCCCAGATAATTTTTTGTATTTTTAGTAGAGATGGGGTTTCACCATGTTGGCCAGGCTGGTCTCAAACTCCTGACCTCAGGTGATCCACCCGCCTCGGCCTCCCAAAGTGCTAGGATTACAGGCGTGAGCCATCGTGCCCGGCCCAGTGGCACCTTCTTAACTCCCTGTAGCCTGGAACTCCTGGGCTAAAGCCATCCTCCTGTCTCAGCCTCCCAAGTAGCTGGGACTACAAGGGCATGCCACCACACCTGGGCTAATTTTTAAATTTTTTGGTAGAGACAGGGTCTCACTATGTTGGCCAGCCTGTGCTTGACTTTTAAATACGTGTTTGTGTAAGGCTTTCTTTAAAAGCTATTAATGATACTATCTTAGCAGATATACATGCGAAATTATCAAGGAACAATAAAATGATCTTGTTCCAAGCACCATGAACTTGGAGTCTTTATTTTTTTTCATTCAGGGTAGAAATGAAGAGCAGCTGCTGACCTTGGTAAGGTAGCCACAGAAGTCACTGAAGACTTAGAAGTGGGAGTCCAAAAGCTTGGAACAAGATTTTGTTCATTCATTCCTACAGTCGTTCAACCAGCATATTCTGGCCACTTCTCATGCACACTGGTCATCCACCAGGGAGACTGGCCATGCTTAGGCACAGGCTTAATGTAAATCATGTTTAATCCTTTCTTGGCTCTAAGACCCTGGACAAGTTCTGCCTTTCAGCTTCACCTTCCTCATCTATAAAATAAGAATAACCTTGAATGCGGCACTGATAGAATTAAAAGTGAGATAATTGGTCGGGTGTGGTGGTACATGTCTGTAATCCTAGCACTTTGGGAGGCCACGGTAGGAGGATCACTTGAGCCTAGGAGTTTGAGACCAGCCTGGGCAACAAAGTGAGAAATTATCAAGGAACAATAAAATGATCTTGTTACAAAGAAAACCAAATTCTCAAACATGCATGAAATATGAAGAAAATAAACTCCCATGACACATCATTTGGCTTAAAAAAATTATCAATATTTGAACTTAGAGCCTTTGATTTTGATTTTTGCATCTCTACAAAAATTACAAAATATTAGCCAGGCGTGGCGGCGGGTGCCTGTAGTCCTAGCTACTTAGGCTGAGTTGGGAGGATTGTTTGAGCCCTGGGAGGTCCAGGGTGCAATGAGCCATAATCGAGTCACTGTGTGTGAGACTGCCACACACACACACACACACACACACACAAGTGAGACTACGCACTCAGAAATGCACATAAACATAATTGGTCTTCTGGAACACATGTGTCGTTTGCCACTGTTATCTGTTAGGCTTTAGGGCTTGATGACAGAAATCATAAGGCAGTCTCTCTTTCCTCTTACATTCCTTTCCCAATCTAAGAGGGCAGCAAAAAGCTCAGAGGTCCACCGCACCATGCAACATGTGAGATGCCAAAAGCCCGCCCCATCGAAAGCCCGCCCCATCGACGACAGCATTCATCCATCTCCCAAATTCATCTGGGTCCTACTCTCGAGTTACCCGGCTTTCTTGAGGTCTTGCAGCTCTACAAGGATAATCTGTGCTAAACTTTGCTGTCGTCCGAGGTCAAATGTTTGGCTCACAGGTTGGAGAGCCTCCCATGGCACCCGCGTTTGGTCCTGAGAAGGGCAAGGCGCCCAGGGGGCGGTCTGGTGGAGCACGAGACAGCTGTCTCCCAGTCTCCCCAAATCCGTGCCCGAGGGGGCGTTTCTGCGTCGCAGGGGCGGGCACAGCCGACGCCTCCCTGCTCCACCTTCTGGGTCGGCGCCAAGACTCGGATAGTGAATTTCGGGAAGTTTCACTCGGGTGCGAGCACGTGGGCACCTCAGGACCCGGGCTCCGCGCCGCGCGCTCGGCTCCC